TATCAGAACTTGCATATTTAAAAAAATTCAAACAGGACTTTTAAATCCTTTAGTTAACCATTATTAAGCATATGAATTCATTAGTTATTTAATTCTGATTTTTTGTGTAGGGTAAAAAAAGAAAGTACAGTCTGCATTGCCCTTGCTGATGACACTTGTGATGAGCTAAATATTTTGATGAATAAGGTTGTGAGAAACAATCTTAGGGTTAGGCTCCGAGACGTGGTTTATGTTCTGTTCATCAATGTGCTGATGTCAAGTATGGGAAGCGAGTACACATTATTCCCATGGAAGGTACCATTGAAGGGGTTTCTAAAATCGGTTTAACACTTGCCTAAACGTAAGTTTTTAAGCATTTAATATTGTGTGACTTATCGAAGTCGTTTAGTCTTATTAAACATTTCTATTGTTTCCTTTCTGATACTATAGATCCTTGTCATTTTATGGTGAATCTAGATTTGACACGTTTGTTCTTGTTTATTGTTCAACTCTGTGTGCATCTATAAGTCTTTAATGAATTCAGTCTCTGAGTCTTTAATGAATTCAATCTATGTAGAGTAGAATTGTAACATATTTTTTTTTCCGTTCACATAAGAGTGTCTAGAAACAGTTATTAGAGTTTTGGATGTATCAAATTCATGTTAACATGCATAAATTGTTTTATAATTGTAAGTTTCTTGTAAAGGTCCACCTTGATTTCTCTTATTTGCTAGCACTACTGATAGCTCCATCTTAAGTCGTCTAATGTTGTCGAGGAATACTTGTGATATTTATTATCTCACTCTGAATCGTGTCATGTTGTTCGTTTAGTCATACACAACGGGTTACAAGACCAAGAGGAGGAACCAATGAATGGCTACACTAGCTTCCTGTTTCCATCCGCAAAAAGTTTGGTTACATTATTAGCCCAATTTATATTTATTCCTAAATAAAGATGGCTAGAAGTGAAAAGAAACTGGTGCCTTTGCCTATGGAGAATGGTCATTCTGCAGGCCTGTCATTTGTATTAGAAGTTTATGTAACAAATATTGTAAGGATGGCTAAAGAAACTTTTGAGAAGCAAGTCTCTTCTTAATTCCGTTACACTCTATTTAATAATGGAAACCATCATAGTGTAGCCATAGTAAACATTAAGTCGAGGATATAATTCATGAGAATCCAACACATTTAACACATTAATATTACCTTCAAAATAACATAGCCCGTGTAACTATTATAT